TGACAGAACAGGGTTTTGGAGAGATAACCAAAAGACAAAATCTATTAAGAGCTACAAGGGACAGGAAGTTGTGGAGGGCTGTGATCGCTTACGTCCTGAAGGGACAGGGCACGTAAAAGAAGATATATATATCGTCTAGCATAACTGCAAATATAGCCAGTGGAGCGGTCTATCGTTTGACATGTGATATTGGTCGGTTGAGGAAATATCTCTTTTAGGGAACAATGAGGTTTTTGGAGAGAATGGAAACAAAAAGGAAACTTATACTTAACATCAGGAAGAAGCAGTTGAAATCTCTGGTGAACGTAAAGAGGAATGGGGGCTTGGAAACAGACTGAAGGAAAGAGGGACAGAGAAAAATAACGCGTAACATATTTGATGGGATTAAGCAAATGGACGGTAGAACATGGTTTGGGAGAAAAAACAAGACAAAACTTATTAAGAGCTACAAGGGACAAGAAGATGTGGAGGGCCATGATTGCCTACATCCTGAAGAGACGCTGCACATAAAACAAAAAGAAGTTTCTGGAATCTGTATTATCCAAATAAAAAGTGAAGCCTGTTAATGATTCAATATGACTTCGGAAGATAACTTAGACAAAACCCATTGCCATTTGATTTTATTTCGTTTTGAAACGTGCAAACGGTTTGAGATAAATGTGACATTACAATTTGTTCAAGTGATTTCAAAAATATCTTAAGCAAAATAGTTTTAATTGCTAACATAGAATATTTTTTTCTTTAGCAAAATTCCAGACACGTTAAACTATTTCGTTTCGATCAAGTAGACACAATGCTGTTTTTGTTTTAATTGTCGATAAACTCTGTCTATATCCCTTTCCGTTCTTCTGAGACTGGAAGACAAAAGCCATTGACTAAAGATGGTACCCAGAGATCCATCTTCCAGGAGCCACCTCCCCTTGGGTGTTTTTGTCATCCCACAATAATAATCGCCGTATCTTCGTTGGTTGACAAATAACCACCGCTCACACAACTAGGTATACACACACACACACACACACACACATATATATATATATATATATATATATATATATATATATATATATATATATATATATATTTTTTTCTTTTTGAATTTGTAGGTCTGATGGATTGGATCGTATTTACGATTCCAATGGAATAAATTATGACCATGGAATATTAGTGTTTAAGCCTTTTTATTATATCCTTACTCTATCCTGGACATTGAGTTCTACCTGGATTCTATCCTCTCGGATTTATTTTTTATACAAATATATATGTATGTGTATGTATGTATATATATTTTAGATATATGATTGCTTATGTATGTGTATATTTACCACTAATATTATCTATCTATCTATCTATCTATCTATCTATCTATCTATATATATATATATATATATATATATATATATATATATATATAGTATAAATAAACACCATATTGATAGAATCATTACATATTTGACAATTACTTTTTCCCAGAATTCCTAAGAATGGATTCGCAATCAATGAATTTTCAGCAGAACAGGGCCCTTGTACATTGCTCACATGTCGCCATTGTTTTGGAAATAAAAAATGCATATGTGTGGCTAGGGACACCGCAATCACTGATCCGGGAGGCAAAGTAGTCGGATTTCCCATGTCTTGAACGTTTCTCTTTGTTTAGAGCTCTATTAAGAATGCGGTTTACAACAGAAAAACCCGAAACTCTTCAGGCCTTAAAGAATTCCATTAAAGAAAAACGCAACTTGGATAAGAACTGAAATGTGTCAAAAATGCCAAGTTTTCTTGAAAGATTGCAAATATGTATCGACAATGGTGGCTCAGCTACTGCAAAATATTCATTTTACTTATTGTTATAGTTAAACACACCTATTCTATAGTTAATAGACTCTCCCACCTATAAGTAGGAGTAGCAAGAGTAACGAGGGAGTCGCTCAGCGGTTCGGTCTGAGTTCAGTCTGAAGTCGGACGACCGGCTGACCGGTTGAACTCTCTGCCTTCGGGCGGGGAGGAACCCGAACGAGGCTACGCCGAAGGGCGGAGTCTCTTTCGGGGAGGTAAACCGACCCTGAACCCGTTTATACGGGTTCAATGGGCAAATTTTTTGGTCGAGCCCACGGGCTCGGAGATCCCACGTTAAACCGGCCTTGTGCCACATGATGCCTTCGTGGGGGGTGGGGAGGGGTGACTAAATACTGTCGCTCAGTGGTTCGGTCAGTCAGTCGATGCCGGACGACCGTTAGTCGGATACTAAAGTATCAGCGACCACAACTAGATTTACTCTGCGTCATACCTATTATATCAAGTTCCTAACGTTTTGTACGTCGAACCTATTTTAGGACCGACTTAGTACAAATACAAGGCTCCACTGTGAAACCACTCCACAACACTCATGGTTTGATTTGTTAATAAAAACCTTTGTTATATTTCATTTTGCATTCCTTTTAGCTTAGATTTTAAACGTAGTGGTTTCTTTATTTACATAACCACCACAAAAACTGAAGTACCAGGTATGAAAATTCACTAGAAAAGATCCAGATCCAGGAACTTTGCCCTCCTTAGAGCACCCCCCCCTCTTCATTGAATGTCTCCTGGGTTGTGGCCGTACTAACTACGCTTATGCCAATTGTGGGCTGATGAGAGTATTTGACCCTTAGTTGAAGGTTTTGAATTCAGAATTGCCCTTCTCTTAGACCGGTTGCCCCCCCCCAATGATATAGGGCACAGTATGCCCTATTTTTATCCATAATTGGGGTGGGGGAGAAAAAATGGATTCATGCCTTTCCTAAGGATATATGCACGTAAGTGAATGTTATGAACTCAACTGAAATTCGATCTCGATTCTTCGATTCCGCGATCTGAGCCATTATTCCACCGTGCCTCTACAACCACCCAATCTCCCCCCCCCTCAAAAAAAAAACAAATATATGCGGGGGTCTGGCTAAACGATTGTTTCTTTGTTAGTTTTCGGACTTTTTACTTCATTTATTAATTGATCATAAATAAAGTTCACTGATCTTTATTTCAGAAGCTTGTATTTTTCGTTTCTTTACAAATTAGTCAATGATAAAGTTTATTAAAAATCCCCACCTAAACAATATGGTCTTAACCTTTGAGAACCTCAGTTCTTTTCTTCACTCTTGTGCCATACGTGCATACGTTATTTTACGACCTGCTCTGTTGCTCAGACATGTATGACACAAAACCGAAGAGGAACCTGCTGATTAAAAATGGCGGCTTCAATTGCAAATATGGCGGAGGACCACGTGGTTGTCACAGATACCGGCATTCGAAATATTGTCGAACCCTGACTGCAGAACAGGAAAATTAAACTTGCTAAAGATATTTCAGTTTAGTGATACGAGGAAGAGCAGCTCAAGCTTTGCTTGGTGGTTGAGGATGTTGTATATTTCCCTTGTGCACAAGATAGTGATGCATATGGAAAAGCAATATGTCGAATGTTGATTTTCAAAAGCAAACACTTCCTACAAGGAAAGCCCGAACAACACAATCCACTTCTCTTTACGAATTTAACCACGTGACGAACTAAATTAGGCCGGGAAATAGTAACTAATGTTTGCTTTTGGTGATTCTTTTTTTTTTATTATTATTTAAGGACACACTAGTGTTTTGTTCAGATGGTGCAAATTGTTATTTTGTTTCTGTATTCAGAGTGTCTTGTCAAGGATCAATATTCCCTTGTTTTGTTTGAACCATTTGAGCTACTGTGCAGCCCGGCTCAGCGTTGAGCCCAGTTTTCGGAATATTCGTTTCCTTTCGTGATTTAACTTTTATGCCTTTTGGTCAACCTTACTACTTTGATAGAAAGCCTAAACAGATAAAGATCTCATTCCTGGTCGTATTATTACAATAACTGTACTATTTTGAAAGATTGTTTTTTTTTATGAAAGTAACGAAGTTTAATAAAGCACTATTTACATTATTCGGACTATTGTCCTCATCGTTGTTGCCATATTTATCACAACGTTTCGGCCGTTGTACGCTCCGGCCTTCTTCAGGTGGTTGGAATGTCGAACTGAACCCTTTATTTCGCTCGCTGGGGTAGACTGTTCTAGTTCCACATGTCATGTCTAATGGATGTCAGTTATCAGTTATCTCCTGTTAATTCCCCTCTCCAAGCTCTCTATTGCCTTAACCAGGTATCGATTGAACTCGTCCTTAAGGACACATGGCACAGTAAGGTGTTGGTTAGATCCAGTGACAGGACCCAAAGAGTTGCGAGTTCGATACCTGGTTAAGGCAGTGGAGCATTTGGAGGGGTGAATTAACAGGAGATAACTGACACCCATAAGAACTAAAACATTATACACCAGCAAGCGAAATAAAGGGTTCAGTTCGACATTCCAACCACCTGAGGAAGGCCGGAGCGTACAACGGCCGAAACGTTGTGATAAATATGGCAACGAAAATGAGGACAATAGTCCAAATAATGTAAATAGTGTACATAATACCCCATCTCAGAAATATAGACAGATACTGAAGAGATAAGGTTTTTAAGAGGTGAATATTTTGGTATCCTAATATTTTGAAACTTCGATCCAAAAAAATCTATAAAACGACAATCTTTCCTAAAATAAATTTATTTAGATATTCCTGATTGTATTCTGCAAAATAACGTTCTTGAAATAATTTTTTAGATAAGAACAGAAAAGAATGGTTCAGTTTTGTTGGAATGTTTTGGATAGGGTAATGTATGGTTAATATGTTTTAATTGTATAAGAGCGAGTTTTATTTATCAGATTTGAAGCAATTTGAAACAAAATGGAGGATTCTTTCGGACTGGTCTTCTCGCTTTTTGTTTTTTTGTTTTTGTGTTGTTTTTTTTTTTTGTTGTTTTTTTTACAAAATTTAGGTCGCTGTACTCTGCGGCCTACCTAAGGTACCTGTTGCAATTCGGGATGTGATAAAGTAAAAAAAAAAAAAGAAAAAAGAGCAACTGGTCCGAAAGAATCGATGTGCAACATGAATGAAAGACATAGCAACAATCATGTGGTGTTCGGGAAAAGCGCGACAAACAAAGTGACTAGCAAGTACTCACGGTAAACTCCTGATTTGTCGTCATTCCTTGATCTTGACTGTTTGTATTTTTTACTCCCTTTTCTCGCGGAGAAAGACTCCTTCTTGTCGAGCGGGTGATCACAGAAATCGCGCGACTGTTCGCAACAAGCCGACTCGGTAAAATTTGAAGTGCCTTCTAATCCGCTAGGAAATACGTTCGGCTGGAGAAAACGTTGAATGAACTTACTTGGGTATCCATTGAGTGCGACATGTTGACTTGGGTCGTTGTGTCGAACATTATTATATCGTTTGCGATCGGTCAACGAATTAGCAACGTAACTAGCATTATCGGACGCGTGCTGTTGTTGTTGTTGCTGTTGTTTTTGTTGTTGTTGTTGTTGTTGTTGCTGGTGGTGGTGGTGTTGATGATGTTGATGAAGTTGGTGATGGTGATGGTGATGGGATGCGGCGTCGCCGTGCGTCGTCGTCGTCGTCGCTAAATTTGACAATGTAGATGCCGAGGCTGTCGACGACGACGCGGCCGCCGACATGTGATTTGGTGGTGGGTGGTGGTGTGGGTGTTGGAAATACGACAGGTGAGAAGTGTTCGACTGGGAGGGGTTGGAGTGTGAGGGGATATGTGTGGGGACGCCCCGGGGCGAAATGTCTCCGTGGGGGTTAGGGGGCCTTCGAGAAGGGGAAGCCAGGCTACCGGCACTGAAAGAAGCGTTCCTCAATAATTCATACTCCATGTACTCGATAAGGGCGCGCCTTTTCATCTGGAATTTCCGATGGTGGCGCAAAAAGGAAACACACAAAAATATTGTCATGGAAATGGCCACGCTAACAGCCGGCCACCACGGATGCCGCAGACCATAGCCTGGGTCCGACATCACTGGACTCACCGTCGTACCGGCGGCGGCGGCGGCAGTGGCGGCGGCAGCTGCACCACTTTGGAGGAGACCTGTGGTCGTCAAAACACCCCCACTGTTAACCCCGCTCCCAGCGACCCCGGCAGCGGCTGCAGCAGCGGCGGCGGCGGCTGTAGCGGCGGCAGGGGTGCTGGGGGTGCTTGTCAGCGTAACTTTGGTCGTGGATACAGTAGAACTGTCATCGTAGTGGCCGCTACCGGATACACCGGACGCCACACCATCCATCCCAACGCTGTGGTTCCTCAAGGCCGGAATCGTCACCGGCGGTTGTAATGACGGTGGATGCGGTCCGGGAGTACGGATTTTGGTCCTGTTAATGACAGCAACGGTTGAGGTGGTGACAACAGAAGCAACAGGATTGGAGGAGTTAGCAACCGTGCTTCCGTTCAAATTCATCGCGGCTGATCCGTCCGCACGGGAACCAAATCTCGTTGAGTTTTCATTTAGTGGCTTTTTTGTTTTACTTTATAACGTCCCCTCTTCTCCCTCTCTCTCTCTCTCTCTCTCTCTCTCTCTCTATCTATCTATCTATATATATATATATATATATATATATATATATATATATATAGGGACAGGTACTTATAAGAAAATACTGATTAGAACTGTAAACAGACTTGGTTATATATGTGCGTATGTATCTTTATTTACAGCGACACAGTCCTGTATTTTCAAATGTCTATCTTCGAGGCGCAAATATATGACATGTACACGAGCATAACGCTGCAATATATACATAGATATATTTCTTGACTCAGTACGCCAGCATTTTGCCAGATATATTTTTATATATATAGGACACAGGCCTTAATATCAGCATATATTAAACACCTATAGGTGTTCTTACCCAGATATGTGCACGTGTTTAAATGTGTTTATGAAAGTACCGTGTGCGTATCTTATTGATACTGAGTTTAGCAAGCGTGTTTGGGCGTGGTTTTCCTAACTCTGACTTCACCCCCTCTACTTGTGCTTTAATAAACAAACAAATGCTTCAAATGAAGAAATGCAAAAGGATGCTCTGAAATGAGAAGTACGTATATATATATATATATATATATATATATATATATATGTATATACATATGCATATAGATATATATAGAGATAGATAGATAGGTATATAGATGTGTGTGTGTGTGTGTGTGTGTGTGTGTATGTATATTTCTTCCACGGTGGGTATAAACGTTCGCAGGTTTTATGCAACGTGCAGATTGGTGTGTGTACAAGTATTCCTGGAAGACAAAAAGCATACCAGCAGGTAATCCACGCGGTGAATATGCAGAAAGAAAGAAATGAAGTTTGCCTTGCTCTTTTTTCTGTTCTCTTCTCTTTGACGCTCATGAGCCGTTCGCTTCGGTGTTGGACTGCGTTTGGCAGTGGCGTGCATGTGAATGTTTGTATCTCTTGTTTCTTTCTGTGGCTCACGCCGCCACTGCACGTCTGATAAAGGTGTTCTCTGTAATAAGCTTGTGCACATATGTCAAGTCATATGATGCATAGTAATAGCTTTAATATTTTTAGCGTTATTACTGTTGGTGATTTTTACGCCGAGAGAAACGGACTTCACTCGTCCTCCGGAGAAAATACAATTTAACAAACGTGGGAAAAAATGTTGCCCTTTCTATTATTATTTTTTTTTTTTTTTATAATTTACCTTTTCTTGTTTTCCTTTTATTTATCTGTTTTGTTTTGGTTTTGCGTTTTTTGTTTGTTTTTTTTGTTTTTTTTGTTTTTTTGTTGTTTTCGTTTTCGTTTTTTTTAATTATGAATCCAAAGTGGTTGACGATTCCATTATCTGGTCCGGTTTTTCACCTGAGATTAGATAACAAGTGTATTTGTTATATAAGTCTATAACAAACTCCTGGGGGATTGATTTAATTTATCCAAAATTAGGTAAATCCAGTGTAAGCAAATTTGTTATGCAGTCTGTTGAATTGAGAGAAAAAAATTAATTCCCTCTGAAAAATCTTGATAAATATTCATTTTACATTTTGCAGTCAAAACGAGAAACAAAAATGAAAGAGAAAAAAAAACTAGGGGTAAATTAAACAATTGTTTCGAATAATGTAGCCATTTTTAGTATTTAAAAAAGATTTCATAATTCTAGTTTTTTTTTTCTCTTGTGTGTGGGGTTGGAGTTCGGGTGTAAGATTCAGAAAAAAAAAATGAATTTATCAACCGACTGATTGGTGAAAAATACTTTGTTACGAATAATTGCAAATTATCTACCTTTCTTTATTTCCTAAAAAAGAAAATGCAATATAAACCATAAAAAATATGGCTAGCTGCCTGTCAGTTAGTCACACTGATAACCTTTCCTTCTGTCAATGCGTGCATCTGCATGCATGCGTGTATTCATGTATGTATGCATGTGTACATGTATTTGTTTACGCTATTATGAATAACTGGTATAATAACAACTAACGTAAAAACAATAATAATTATTGTTTACTGCTTTCTTTTGTTTTGAACTAAACGAAGGATTTCTGTATGATATTGTTATTATTTCTAGAATATTAATGTCGTACCGGTAATTAATAATAATAATAATATATTTAAACGACCATAGGAAGATTATGTTTAAGCAATTGGCAACTGTATTTCGATAACAAAATATTATCAAATGTATAACGAATTTGGTTTAATAAAGTAATGAATTAATAACAATAATGTCATTACTAAATAAAATTAAACAAGTTATAATAATAATAATAATAATAATAATAATAATAATAATAATAGTGACAGCAGCAACAGTTGTCTATGAAAATGTAATTTCGTTCGTATAAGACGCGTTACCCTTCGACAAATAAAAACAAGATGATAAACATCTGCGCCTTTTTTGTGTCACTTGTTTAAATATTTTCAAAACAAAAGGTTAATGAAACAATTTTTTATATGGAAAATAATTTATTCTAAACGTTGGCTAATCACCTACTCAATACCCACCCACCCACTGTCAAAAGACAAAATGAATGTTGCAATGTTGCTATTTCGTTAAATATGTAAATAGTTATTTGTAAATGTGGACGGGGATTGTAATTGGGTCCTTTACGGAGGCAAGATTTGAACCCAGATCAGTAACAAATTAAAACTAAATAAAAAAGAAAAACATGAGATAAAAGAATGACAAAAAAAAAAAAATAAAAATAAAAATAAAAACAAATTTTTAAAAAAAATAGGGATGTTCAAAGATGCGATTTTTTTTTCTTAGCCGCATGGGCATGGGTCCTGAATGAAAAGCTCCGATATCTGCTGCCGTGTAGGCATTGTGGTTGTTGCTGTTGTTGCTAGTGTTGTATTTGGTATTGCTAGAGTTGTTGCTGTTGCGTGGGGTGTAGGTGGTGGACGTGGTGTTGGCGTTGCTGCTGCTGCCGCTGCTGTTATGCTTTTCGTCGTCGTAGTCGCCGTCACCGTCTTCGTCGTCGTCGTCGTAGTCATCAACATCATCATCACCACAAGCGGCATCACCAGCATCATAATGAATAACAAGACTCCATTTTTGTCGCGATACGCTTCATGCTTTTTTCTTTCTTTCTTTCTTTTTTTTTTCTTTCTTTTTGTCTTCGTCTAGAATTATTGCTTCTTTTTTTTTTTTTTTTCTTCTGTTATTTGACTGGTTGTATGTTACTGCAAGCTCCTCTGTGGCTTGTTCCTCGGTTATGCCTCTGTTTCATTGCGAGGTATTGTTATGACAATCGTATTAAAAGCCTCTGTCGTCAGCAGTAGAAGCACTAGCACTAACCATAGTGATGGTAACCAGAAAATGAAGAAGAGAAAAAACAGGAACTAGGAGTAACGAAAGAGACTATAAAAGAGAGTAGGAGGAAAAGTGGTAGGAAGAGAAATAGGAGAAAGAATTATAGTAGCTGTTGTAGTCATATTATTATTATTATTTTAGTTAGAATACACTCGTGCGCAGGAGAGAGCACCCTTACAATGGAGTCTGTTACTGTAAGTCGTTACTATTGTCGCTATGTTAGAATAACTTTAACAGCATTCGAACCAATCTCTTTTTCTTTCCTGTAGCCTTTTCAGGTATTTTCCTCCGCCGTTCACGGTTGATAGCGGCACTGCAAGACAGAACAGTCATATTAGTGCCAGTCGTATCAGCAGTAGTCGTAAAGTGTATCAATTGACGAAGTAGGAACCCTGAAAGTCAGATGCAGTTAGAGTAGTTTTAGCGTCTGCACGAGCAGCAGTAGTTCGTCAGCAGCGGCGGCGTCGGCGGCGGTAGTGTCTTTAGTAGTCATGGAAATATTAGTTGCTCATCATCACCTACCACAAGTGGCTAGCTTCCCGCAGAACCAGTATTGGAAACGTCAACATGATGGCCGCACATCGTCAACTCCCTCTCAATAGACACTGCTCGTTCTCCATCACTTGTTGGCTGGTAGAAAACAAAAAAGAAGATGGGTGATGATGTTCTGAAAGAAGAAGAAGAAGCGAAAGAAGAAGAGGATTGATTGGTTAGTTTTGTATATGTCACACTTGTTCTTGGTTGACTTCGCCATCGTCGCAGTTGTTGTCGTTGTCAAGAGTCCTAGTAGTAGCTGTAATGACTAGCCAGGTATAGTTAGTGTCTTTTTCAACCAAGAAAAACCCATTCAGCATCAATTTCATCGCCATGTTTTATGCTTTCTAACTCTTATAATTGTTCTTTTTTTTACATCCCTTCAGATTTTCTTCATCCTTGTTTACTCTTTCATTCTTCTTCTTCTTCTTCTTCTTCTTCTTCTTCTTCTTCTTCTTCTTTTTTGTTGTTTTTCTATTATTATTACTTCTTCTTCTACATTAGCTCTTCCTTATCTCTTTTCTTTCCTCTTCTTCCTTCTTTCTTACCTACACCTTTTAGCCTAGTCGCTTTATCTTCTAATTTACCTGATCGCCCACTAAATTTCTTCTTTTCTCATACTTTCTCCAACTTCTTTGTTCTCTCCTCCGAGCGCATCCATTCCGTGTCTTTATCACATCCTCCTCCTTCTCCCCTCTTTACATATCTACTTCTCTTTTCTTACCTTCCATTTCTTCTTTTTTGTTTTTCTTTACCCTCGTCTCTTCTTTTCCTCTTATCTCTCTTTCACCTTCTCAACCTCTTCGTTATTATCCCTCCTCTCCCGATTTTCTTTCTTTCTTTCTTACACCATTTTTCGCTTTATCTTCTAATAATCTTTCGGATTCCATTCGACTCTATCATTTTTGCTTTTTACTTTTTAACAAACAATCATGAAAGTGCAAACTTTTCAAGTTTCTAAGCCGTTCAAAAAGAACTAGGCTAATAATTTTTCGAAGAAAGACAACGAAGACAAATACAAATTAAATCAGATCAGATCAGACGTAAAAGGTATTTGAAAAGTACGGCCTAAATAATTAACGAACAGTTAATAAATGGATTAGAAATATCACCGATATTCTTCAGAAACTTGTTGCATAAGTTTTCTATGTGCAAGAACCACCAACATTTCCTTAATCTGATGATATAACATTGCTCTTGGACTTCGCCATATACACTAACCGCAATATCCAAGTTAGTTTACGAGATATTGTCATAAAAGACGTCCAAGAAAATAAACGCTATCTTGTAAACAGGACGATACTGTTCGATAAAACCATTTCATATACTGTCCAAATAGAAGCATCTGGAAATAGAACTTATAAGGATATGACATTTAAACACAACTATTAACCCAGTAGTTATAAGAACACTAGGAATAACTTAGAATACTGATACTCACGTGAAGAAAAAAATCCCAATCATTTACTTTAAGTCACAAGTGAAAAAATTAGTAAATGAATGAAGATACATTCAAGAAATTCAAAGTTGAAAACTAAAAAAAAAGCTTATAGGGATATTTGAAAAGATAACTCTAAGTAATGGCCGATAATTTTATATAGGCATGGTTACGCAGAGGACAGCTCAAAGGCAATATAATTCGCTTTAAGAGAAGTCCTCCAAATGCCACAAGAATTAGCTTACATAGCTGATTCTTGTGGCATTTAGCCAAAAGAGATAAAATAGAAGAAAACAGCAAATGTAGTTTGTGAATCGTATAATCAGGGAACGTAGGACGCTGGACAAGAAAGTACATATAATTGGATGGCAAATATCATTGACTGGTAACTGTGCAAACGAATAGATCTTGACTACACAGATCTATGGCAGATGCTGACCAGCATTTAAAGAATGAAAACATAACATCCTTTGAGATTCAAGTGGATCCCTCAATTCAATTCGGAAAACGTAAGACACGGTGGATTTCAATGTCAGTTCACAAGGTAACTATGAAAGAAAATTAAACATATAGATAAGTAAATCAACATTACCAGAGAGGTAAGAATGTTATGGAATTTAAAAATGATAGTCGTGTTAGTTGGTATCGAAGTAATGGAAACGGTTACCAAAGAATGAAGTAAAGAAACCGGAAGAACTTGAAATTTTGGGAAGAGCAAGAACCACCTAGATATAGCAAATAATCCAGAAGTTTAAATTATATATATATATGTCTGGGGAAAAGGTCTGATCAAGATGGAATTATGCAAAAAATGATTTGGGTTCGGCCGATGCTGAAAAAAATGGTGAAAGCACAAGACGGAGGATGTTCTGGAAAAAAGAAAAAGTGAAATTTTTGATGGGTTCGAACTCAAAACATAATATCCAATCCAAGACAATACACCGGATTTCATCTGAATTTAGTGAATATAAAGGAATAATGACACACTGTGCTTTGCGCAAAAGACATGGATTCAACATTTAAACAAATGTTATGATCATTAACCAAATCTTAAATATTATGATCATTAACCAAGTCTTAAATGTTATGATCATTAAATGATAGGTACTTATTTAATATACTCTGTAACTTTGAGATACACATGGACTAATTTCAAAACGAGAAAACCAGATACAATCGTTATGAAAGCTTTTTTTTTCTTTAAATAAATTTATTCATTTAATACAAGTAAAGAATTACTGACTAAGGTGTCTGATATGAATGCAAAAGCAGAAGAATAGGAAATGATAATTAGAAGGATATGGCGGATAGATAATTATGGTGTCTAAACTTGAAGAGGTTAAGTTTCTGGTATTCTTGGAAGCATCCATCAGTTCTACTAAGTAGCGGTTCTTAAGCTAAATACAAAAGAAAGCTTCAGAGAAAGATACAAAGGATTAGCTATGTTGTATCCTTAAAGAGGTTACACACAGTGGTACTCGAATGAAGGAACAGCAACACTTGCGTAGATGAAAGAAGAGTGGTTTATTGTAAAAGAGAATACACTTCTGAAAGACAGGGAATCGGGTGGTAGGCTAGTAATTCCCGAAGCAAGGATATCTACCAACCGCCCCACGCGGTGAAACGTGGCACAAGGCCGAATTTAATGTGGAGCATCCGAGCCTGGAGGCTCGGTCAAAAATTCCCCGTATAAAACGGGGTCGGGTAGATGTTTCCCTAGAAGAGGCTCTGTCCTTCGACAAAGCCTCGTCTGAGGATCCTCTCTGCCCGGAGGCAGAGAGTTTGACAAGCACGGCTGCAGACAAATCTCCAACTAATTCCCGGAGTAAGGTTGCTTACCTTAACTCTACGCGAGGCAGGATGTGGCACAAGGCCGTTTTTAATGCGAGGCAAAACCGACAAATTCCCCGTAGACTCCGTATACAGAAGGTCGGGTAGCTGCCTGCCACCCCAGACGAGACTCTGCCCTAAGGCATAGCCTCGCCTGGGTTCGACCAGCACAGCTGGAGACGAATCTCCAACTAATTGTCGAATAAGCCCCCAGTTATATCTTGTGCTCACTATATAGTGATTTTACAAGCGTAGCTAAGATGCGGCACAAGGCCGGGAATGCGGGGACACCCAGTGAGGATCGAACTCACTACTCAGTCATAATTGAGCTAGCAAGACAAGCTCGTTAACCATTACACCACCTCGAGGTGCCCCTTGTGCTCACTATATATAGGTATTGATAATGTCAGTCCACATAAGCGATATGGAGTGGGGGACATTCCATTGCAACAAGCTGAAATAGGCATTTAGAGTATAGGCGTTGCCCTTTAGATTCATGCCCATAATAATTGGCTTATTTGGGGCCGTTCCCAAAATAATAGAGTCAAAATCAAAAGTAGAATTTAATGCTGGGGTCTGCGAAGATACTCGGTAAGGTGGTGGGGTTTTGTGCTTCCAAGCATCAAAATGCAAATCCACAGTTAATCGTTTATACAGATTTACGAAGTTTAGCTTATTCCGGCACATGGTTACAGGTATGGTTCACGCAATGAGAATTGCATTTCCTATCCAGCATGAGGTCATCGAGGTACGGTGGAGTAATGGATAACGGCTCGGATTGAGAAATCGGATTGAAATCGAATCCATTACATTCGCTTATGTGCTAATACCCTTGCGAAAGTTATGAATTCTTTTTTTCTCCCCCAGCTATGGGCAAATAGTAGGAGAGACCGGTTTCTATAGCTTTGGATGGTAATTGGTCTACCGCAGAAAGAAATTGCAACCTACTTCGGGAAAAAAAGACCTGCCTCATCAATCATGTATTGAAAGATACATGATCGCCTAAACGCATGGCACATAACTGACTGATCCAGCATTATTGGTCTGTTAGTGTTATACCGGAACATACCTATTCTATTCTTAATAGACTTTCCACTTATAATAAGTAGTAGTAGTAATAGCAGTCACCAGTGGGCTCAGTGAGTTGGTCGAATCAGTCGATGTTGGACATTAAATTATCAACCACCACAACTAGATCGCTGCGTCATTAACTATTATTTCAAGTTCCTAACGTTTTGTACGTCGAACCTTTTTTAGGGCCGACTTAGTGAAATACAAGCCTCCACTGTGAAAACTACTCTACAACAGTTAGACTATCTCCCTCATATTTGCCATTGAAACACAGAAGTTAAGAAATGCAGAACCTGGTCAGTACCTAGATGGGTGACCAGTTGGGAACACTCCCTTGGATGGTAAGCTTGGGTGTGTGGGTGGTGTAATGGATAACGTCTCGGAATTATAAATCGGAGGGCCGATTTCCATTTCCCTGCGCAAGGACCGGTGTTTTCCCTGCGAAAATACCCTTAGGAAAGGTATGAATCCACCTCGGAAAGGTATGAATCTCCACTCGGCTATGGATTAATTAGTAGTAATTGTATCAGTAAATCATTATTTTATCCAAAAAATTCTTATAATCTAAAAATATCTCCTGGTTTTGGATAAACTGCAAAAGGTTGATAACGCGTGAAAAACAAATCAATCACTCAATCCCTCATCATTTTCCTACAACGAGAACAACTCGTATAAAAGTTTATATCAGACTATATATAAATATAATCTGGCCAAATTACTGTATTTCCGTTGTAAGCTAATTACCTGCAATCCAATTGTTAGATTAAAATTTAAACCGTTGTATCTTAGAAATGATTAAAGATATCTTACTGGAATTCTCTGAGGTTTTTATAACACTATCGGACACTACTTTGAACAATAAGAATGTATTTAGCTCAAAGTTGAAATGATGATCCCTTTTGCTGTTGTGACCTCCTGATCCAGCTTTCCTTTCTACTGTTCCTTCTTTTTTAAACTTATTCACTATTTTCTTGGTGGTTCTTGAATATACTTTAAAGATGGAAGCCAGAATATGAATGTTGCTACCATTACAGAAGGCCTGAATTATCTTTTTCGTCTCACAATTGCTCTGTTGAGAAGACATAGTGGAGATCACACAAAATGATTTTAACCTGTTCTCTTGCTAGCTGAATAACTCAAAGGGTTTTTCAGTGATTCTCCCGACAAATGATACCAAGATGGCTAATCGTCTTATCTGAAAACCTGGCAAAAAAGAAACACGATTTGCTTAGTGAATTTTCGGATATTAAATATTTTGTGGGATGGACAATTATCCCATACTGTTACGCGATTTGGACAATTTTGCTGTTACACCCGGTATATATTTTAATATATCTTCTATCTAGACGCTATTTTTAGGGATGGATCCAATTTTATTTTGAATAAATGCTATGTTTTAATTAAAACATAAAATTAACATATAAACATTAAAATATTTGTTGTATTTAATCCATTTCACCTAATATATATATATATATATATATATATATATATATATATATTCTCCTGCTGACAACCATCTGGCGTTATTGGCTTCAGTACGAAAACCAACAACTTTGTGACAGTAAATCGCCTACTGAAAGGACCGATGCGCGTTTAGCTCATCAGAGTAGGCGTCCATA